TTTTGGTGGTTCAGATTCTGTAATTTCCACATTGGACTGGTGCTCTTTTAAGACTTCTAAAAACAGGCTCCACACCTCATCTTTCTCAGATCTTGGAAGGCACTTAAGATTCTTAAACCTTGGGTTGATTGCCGTAGCTATTTTTAGAAATCTCACATTGGTACTTTCTTTGCATTTTGTCAAATCTGTAGTGAAAGTGTTCTTAAATTGAACAACATGTGCTGGGTCGTCATCCAAAACTGCCATAACACAAAGTATATGGCAGAATGCAATGAAAACAGAGCAGGAGACATACAATTCTCCCCCAAGGAGTTCAGTCACAAATTTAATTAATGCATTTTTTTAATGAGTCATTGGCATGGAAGCATGTGTATGGAACTGTGGCCAAAGCATGAAGGGGCATACGAATGTTTAGCAGACCTGGTATGTAAATACCTAGCAATGCCAGCTACAACAGTGCCATGTAAACACCTGTTGTTATTTTCAGGTGACATTGTAAATAAGCAGGCAGTATTATTTCCCGTAAATGTAAACAAACTTGTTTTAGTGATTGTCTGAACAAGAAGTAAGACTGTGTGGATTTGTTGGGTCTGAAGTTTTACATTGTTTTGATTTTGAGTACAGTTATGTAACAAAAAAATCTACATTTGTAAATTGCACTTTCACGATAGAGATTGCACTCCAGTACTTGTATGAGGTGAATTGAAAAATACTATTTTATCATTTTTACAGTGCAAATATTTGTAATAAAAAATAGTATAAAGTGAGCACTGTACACTTTGTATTGTGTTGTAAATTAAAATCAAATATTTGAAAATGTAGAAAAACATCCCAAATATTTAATACATTGCAATTGCTATTCTATTCTTTGACAGTGCAATTAAAACTGTGATTAATTGTGATTAATTTTTTGTGTTAATCGCGTGAGTTAACTGCGATTAATCGACAGCCCTATTTTCAACACTAAATCTGTACTTTGGCGCGTGCGCACACACGCTTATTGCCCTCTGATTTTATTTCAGAAACATTGTCTCAGATCTTTTCCTGAGTGCTGAAATGCAAGAGTTTAACCTCTCTGTATTTTTTACCTCAGAATAGCTCTTGCACCTTAGTTACCCCGCGGTTTAAAAAAAAAAATCACCTTTCTAAATTGTGAGGAAAAGCCCTAAAGGATAGATTCATAAAGGGACTTGGGCATTGTGATACTGAGCATCACGATGCCTTTTAGCTGCCTAGAAAGTCATAGGAACATCACTGTGATCCACAAAGCCTGGATTAGGTGTCTAGGCTCCATGTACAATGAATAGAGAGAGAAAAGTACTTTAGAATCTGATCCACAAAAGCCTGCATGCTCAGCGGGGAATTGCCTCAACTAATCAATGGGAGATGCCAACTAGAGAGGTGTCTTCTAAGTCATGTCTCTTCTCAGAGTTCAGTGCCTAAATATCCACTGCAGTTAGGTGCCTAGCTCTCAGGCCTGGCTTTAGGTCTATTCTCCTGAATTGGGCCCCACGCCTAAGAGGGCCCCGGGCCCAGTGGTGAGCTGGAGCCAGTTCCCAAGCTCTGGCAGCTGTCCGCTGCACCCCCGGCCCCAGCTCATCTCCCCCTCCTCCCCTGAACGCTCCGCCCCCCTTCTTCTTCCCCTCCCCTGCTTTCCGCGAATCAGATGTTCGCGCGGGAAGCCTGGAAACAAGCAGCAGCAGGTAAGCTGGGGCGGGGAGGTGTGAGGAGGGCTCCAGGGAGGTGTGGCGCGGCTCAGTCCGGCTCCGGCCCCGGCCCCGACTCTGGCCAGGCGGCACAGCTCCGGCCCCGGCGCAGCTCCAGTGGGGGGTAAGCGGCATGGTAAGAGACTGGGGGTGGGTTGGATAAGGCCAGGGGCAGGGAGTCCCAGGGACAGGGAGCAGGTGGGGGGTTGGATCGGGCAGAGGTTCTGTGGGGGCGGTCAGGGGACGGGGAATGCGGGGCGGTTGGGTAGGCGTGGGAGTTCCGGGAGTCTGTCAGGGTGGTGGTGGATGGGGTCAGGGAACGGGGGAGGGGAGGTTGGGTAGGGGGGAGGGTCCTGGGGGGCAGTTAGGGTGGGGGGTCTCGGGAAGGAGTGGTCAGGGGACAAGGAGCGGGCGGGGGGGTTTATGGGTTGCGGTTTCTGAGGGGGGCAGTTGGGGGCAGGACATGGGTGGGGGTCGGATTGGGGGTGTACTCACCGGGTGGTTCCCTACCGGGTCTTCGGCGGCAGGTCCTTCACCCGCTGGAGACGTGCCGCCGAAGACCCGGTAGGGAACCGGTTCCTAAGATTTTGGCAGCTCATCACTGCCGCACTTCCTAAAGCCGGCCCTGCTAGCTCTGCCTATTGATCCATGAATGGGAACCCCTCCTGGAGTCAAGTGACATAGGTATGTAAGCTGTTTCTTGTGAGAATGAGCTAGGCAGATGCCTGACTCCAAACAAAACAGCTGGATGAGATGCCCACTTTATAACTTTTAGCCCAGTATTGAAGCATTCACCTAAGAGGTGGGAGACCCCTGTTCAAATCCCTTCTTTCCCTCTGCTTGAGGGGAGAATTGAATGTGGGTCTCCCACATGCCAGGCATCTGCTCTAATACTGGGTTGTAAAGTGGTATTTATAAGATGGATAGTAACACTATATCCTCCTCTGGCCAGATTATGAATGGAACCCAATCCAGTCGGTGGCCTCTGAGCATGCCTACCAGATCAGGCCCCACTTTCAAGATAGGCATTTGCCTGTATATTTTCCCCGGTTTGTGAATCACTCTGGGGCTTAGGTGGGAAACAGGCATTCAGATGGTTAAAGTAAGTCAGAAGTGCACATGCTCAGAGGCAGAAACTTAAGATGCCTAGGGAGCTTTTACCCTGAAAACATAGGTGCTGAGTTTAGGTGTGTGAAGTGTTTGGTGGGAGATTTGGAAATCACAGTGGAGACTAAATCAGGGACTTAGACAGCTAAACCCAGACTTAGTTGCCCAAGTACCTTTGTGAATTTAGCCCTGAGTCTCTGTAATGTGTCCATAACATGTAGTGTATGTGCCTGGCTTTGTTAGATCTTTATAAGAATGTCAGTGTTCTCCTTTTCAAAACACTTCTATGTGTTGTCAGTAAAACCATCCCTCACAGGAGAGACATGCCATGTTCTTGCATTAATCAGCCACTGATGTAATATGGCTGTCTTAAGCAGATATATTTATAACATTTTTCCCCTTGAGCTCTGATTGGTTCAGCTATCACTGTGATGAAATAGGGAGCGACCTGCCAGGTCACTTGGTTATAATGAAAACATCCTGTACAGCTTCAGAAACAAATATGTAGCATGTCTAGTAAATACCACATCCTATTCCTGGATGTTTTTGGGCCAGGTGACCAACCTTGCACTTTGCATGTGTGCTGAGACACAACATTACAATGTTTTAAGTAAACTGAAAATATTTGTGTTGCAGCTTATCAGACTGTGTCCTTGCAGCTTTGTGGATGTCAGAGTCATGGACTCCGTGATAATGCAAGAAAGATGTAAGAAACAATGCTGTGTTTGTAAGTTAAATCTTCCTGGAGCAGTTAGTAAAAGACAAGGTTTATATCACATGTGGTTAGTGAGCAGATAGAGGCTGAATTCAAAGAGGGATCTTCACAGTTAAAGAACCAAAAATGTGGATCAGTTGGTTAATTATAATGGGAGAAGAGTGCCACCATTTTATATACATTGCTTATCAAGAGGATTGCTGTACAGCTAGGCCACCATCCTCTATGTGCACAGCAGCATCTACCATCACAGTCAGGTCTTCATTCTCCTGAAATAGGTCCTGAGTAGTGCAGGGCAGAGCGAGCGAGTGAGCAAGCAAAATCACCTTACATTTTTAGGTCACTAGTGGGATTTTCAAAAGCATCTAGTGCTTTCAACCTTTAAAAATCTGGCCTTTAGTTGATATTTGGGAACCACATTGAACCCACATGTGGTGATGTGAAAAAACACCAAGGTCCTGGATAGAGAGGCAAAATAACAGTTGACAAAGGCAATCCCCATTGGTAGATCAAAGGAAACTGAAGAAGTTTTGACCAGTCCAGGAAATCAATTAGTCTTGAAGTCAGGTAATTCCAAAGAATAAATTTATACACAAGAGAAAGGAGTTTTTAATTCTAAATGTTGTTAATATCAATACAAAGAGGAAGTGTTATACTAGAAACACTGAGAATGTGATTGCTGAAGGTACTAGAAACTATTTGCAATGATTGTTATTAAAATGTAAATAGCACAATGACAGCCATCTGCATACAGGTAAAGAAGGTTAATGCAGGTGGACTAAGACTAGTAAAAATAACATTTTAAAAAGTAAATAATTTAAAGGCATGAAATTTGGTTTACAAGAAAAAGTGTCAGATTCGGGCAATCAGAGCAGCAGCCAAAACAAGTTTACGAATTGCTATGATGCTTCATGCAGACAAATAAGTGGATACGTTTTTTTTAAACACTAAAAACGTGTCTGAGAATTATAATTTTTGGAGGGGGAAATGGCAGCCCAAATATTTCAGGGAATCGAGTCTCCTGTGGCAGCTCGCTGAGTAGCTCTCATCAGCCAGGGACTAGCTGCCCCGCATTGGGGATGCGGGGAGGGTCGTGCACGCTGCCCTCAAGCACACAGGCCTGGGACGCGAGTGCTGAGAGCTGCAGCCCTGCCAAGGCGGAGGGTGCACGACTCTGCCCCCCACACCCAATTTGTGCAACCTCTGCAGCCTGGGGCTCACGCCATTTGGGGTCACCGGCCCCCTCTGCCACTGCCAGGCTCTGTCTCAACCCTGTTCTTAACCCCGGCCCGTGACTTCGCCCCTCTCCTTCCGCTGCCTCCTGCTCTTGATCGCCCCGCGCACGCGCAGTTTGGGCCCTGCGCGTCCCTCCGCCTTGAGCCCGGAGAGCGGGAAGCGGCAAGCGGCGTTAGCCCGCCTGAGGGCAGCGGCTCGCTGTCCCGGAGCATGCGCGGCACGCGCTAGGTAACGGTCAACCAGCGATCGCCGCCGCGTAACGCTAGGGCCATGGCGGAGCGCCTGCTGCTGCGGGCGCGGCGGGGCGGTCGTGGGACCCGCTCGGTGTCGCTCCGCGGGAGGCGGCTGCAGCGCGTACCCCGGGGCCTGGCGAGCCTCCCGGGGCTGCGGGCCCTGAGCCTGCGCGACAACGAGCTGCGCTGTCTGCCCGTCGAGCTGGGCGGCCTGAGCCGGGTGAGGACCCGCAGGCGGCTGCCAACTCCCCGCCTGGAGCCGCGCCCTGGGCCCCAGCGTGTAGCCGGGCGGATGTGGGGCCAGGGCGCGCTTAGCCTCCTGCCGCCCGAGCCCAGTGTCTCAGATGCGGAGTCGCTCGCTCCTCGCCCACGCAGAGCCTGGCCGCTGCGATTCACGAGGGCTGCAGCCACCCACCAGCCCCGGCCTCTTAGCATCTCCCATCGCTACTGGCCTGCCCCCGCCGCGCCTGTGCCGCTGCCCTTTCTCCCCATCGCACTGCTGGCGCCGGGGTCCCTTGCCTGCTCCCCGCAGTGGTCGCTTACTGGGAGAACTTTTGCCATGCGGGAGACCTGGGTTTGATTCCCTGCTCCTAGAACGCTTAGTTTTGCGGGTCATACTAAGTGAGGATGTGGGGCCCCGTCCGGTTTTATAACCCATGCCCCTTTTCTCGATAAGAACTAAACATGTCAAAAGCCGGGATGAGAGTTGTGGCAGCTCCAGATGTGGAAAGAAGAGCTTATCTCAGACCTCAGGTGGTGCAGCGATCCTTTGACTGTAGCTGCTAGCTGACATCAAGGCCCCCCTCCCTATGAAACTTCTAGAAAGTGCAGGAGTCTGGGATCAGTCTCTTACTTCCATTTGCATCACATTTTAATAAACTTTTTTCCTAACTTTAGCTGAAATAAGTGGTCACTCCTGACAATATAACATAACAGTAAGGTGCATACAGTTAGAAAAACACATTGTCTCAAAACCCTAGTTTTTAGTTGGTCATCTTTTATTGTAGGTCCTCCTTGGTCTCATTCAGAATTTTGAACACCCTGGATAATGGCAAATATCTATAATTAGTGACTGAATTGCCCAATAATACCTGTCTAAACTATCCAAAATTAATTAAGATGACAAGTGGAAGCTGTATTTGTAATACAAATGATTTGGTTCTTCAGGTTTGATCAGATTAAATAAGGATTAATTTAACCAGCTACTGGATCAAGTGGAATGTGCAGAGTATAATGTATGTATGTATGGTGGGGAATAGTTTCATACTGTTTATTACCATATATGTAGTTAGGGTGTGCCAGGCTTTCCAGTCTAAGATTGTATTATTAATGGATCATAAACTTGATAGTGGAAGTTTGACTACAGGCTTAAATTTGGCTTTATCATGGTTCAGCGTGGGATTAATAAACATTTCTTTAAACCAATTCCTTTTTTTTTAAATATTCTGGTAAAATTCAAACTACTTTACTTTAAAAATACCTAAAACCTGTAACTGTGGCAAGAAAACAAGTGCATATATTTTCCCATTATTTTAAAAAGGATTTTTACTCTATGCTGAGAGGACACAGGGAAGTGCTGATCATCTCACAGTGTAATCTGGAGATGTCCTGAGGCAGAGCCTTTGCTATTCAATGTGTGTGATTCTGGAAAAGTCTCTCTTCATTGTTGCATCCTAGGGTTTATCTGTGTCAGCCTCTGGGTTTTAGATTTATTTTAGGGCTGTCAATCGCAGTTAACTCAAGTGATTAACTCAAAAAAATGAACTGTGATTAAAAAAATTAATCACGATTAATCGCACTGTTAATAGAATACCAACTGAAATTTATTAAATATTTTTGGATGTTTTTCTACATTTTCAAATATAATGATTTTTATTACAACACAGAATACAAAGTGTACATTGCTCACTTTATATTATTTTTATTACAAATATTTGCACTGTAAAAATAATAAACAAAAGAAATACTATTTTTAAATTCACCTCATACAAGTACTGTAGTGCAATCTGTTTATCGTGAAAGTGTAACTTACAAATGTAGATTTTTTTTTTGTTACATAACTGCACTCAAAAACAAAACAACGTAAAACTTTAGAGCCTACAAGTCCACTCAGTCCTATTTCTTGTTCAGCCAATTGCTAAGACAAGTTTGTTTAGATTTACGGAAGATACTTTTGACTGTTTCTTATTTACAATGTCACCTGAAAGTGAGAACAGGCGTTCGCATGGCACTTTTGTAGCCAGCGTTGGTAAGATATTACGTGCCAGATATGCTAAACATTCATATGCCCCTTCATGCTTTGGCGACCATTCCAGAGGACATGCTTCCATGCTGATGATGCTTGTTAAAAAAAAAAATGTGTTAATTAAATTTCTGACTGAACTCCTTGGGGAAGAATTGTATGTCCCCTACTTTGGTTTACCCACATTCTGCCATATATTTAATGTTATAGCAGTCTCGGATGATGACACATGTTGTTCATTTTAAGAACACTTTCACTGCAGATTTCACAAAATGCAAAGAAGGTCCCAATGTGAGATTTCTAAAGATAGCTACGGCACTCAACCCCAGGTTTAAGAGTCTAAAGTGCCTTCCAAAATCTGAGAGGGTCGAGGTGTGGAGCATTCAGAAGTCTTAAAAGAGCAATACTCCAATGTGGAAACTACAGAACCCGAACCACCAAAAAAGAAAATCAGCCTTCTGATGGTGGCATCTGACTCAGATGATGAAAATGAATATGCATCGGTCACTCTGCTTTGGATCGTTATTGAGCAGAACCCGTCATCAGCATGGACGCATGTCTTCTGGAATGGTGGTTGAAGCATGAAGGGGCATATGAATCTTTAGCGCATCTGGCATGTAAATATCTTGTGATGCCGGCTACAACAGTGCCATGCGAAAACCTGTTCTCACATTCGGGTGACTTTGTAAACAAGCCCTGGGCAGTATTATCTCCTGCAAATTGTAACCAAACTTGTTTGAGTGATTTGGCTGAAGTAGGACTGAGTGGACTTGTAGGTTCTAAAGTTTTACATTGTTTTATTTTTGAATGCAGTTATTTTTTGTACATAATTCTACATTTGTAAGTTCAACTTTCATTATAAAGAGATTGCACTACAGTACTTGTACAGTAACTCCTCACTTAAAGTCATCCCGGCTAACGTTGTTTCGTTGTTACGTTGCTGATCAGTTAGGGAACATGCTCGTTTAAAGTTGTGCAATGCTCCCTTCTAACGTCGTTTGGCAGCTGCCTGCTTTGTCTACTGCTTGCAGGAAGAGCCCCCTGGTGGGGGCTTGAAACCAGGGTGGACCGGCAGCCCCCGCATCAGCTCCCTGCTCCCCTAAGTTCCCTGTGCAGTAGCTGCCTGCAATTCAGCTGTCCCTCCCCCCACTGCCATGTACTGCTCCTGCCCTCTATCTTGGAGCTGCTCCCCGAGACTGCTGCTTACTGTGCAGGGGGGAGGGAAGAAAGAGGGGGCTAATGTCAGGGTGTCCCCCTCCCCCCGGCTCCTGCACCCCGCTTACCTCATCTTCCATAGAGCACGGGGGACACACCAGGGCTCCAGAACGGAGGGAGCTTGCAGCAGCTGCCGTCTCAGCAAGCTGATCTAATTAACAAGGCAGTGTACTTAAAGGGTAAACGTGCATATTGCTTTCTAACACATACTTCCTGCTGCCTTGTAGAGTGAGAGAGAGTGAACCCTTGAGGGCTCAGCCAATTGCTAGTTCATCATTTAGCAGTAAGGGAAATATCCCACCCTCTGACTTCTCCACCTCAGCTAAGCTTCACAATCATCATCACTGTGTACCAGTATTAAATTGTTGGTTTAAAACTTATACTGTGTGTTTGTGTGTGTGTATATATAAATATATATATATGTATATATTGTCTTTTATCTGGTGCAAAAATTTCCCTGCAACCTAACCCCCTCATTTACATTCATTCTTATGGGGAAATGGGATTCGCTTAACATCGTTTCGCTTAAAGTCGCATTTTTCAGGAATATAACTATAACGTTAAGTGAGGAGTTACTGTATTAGGTTGTAATAAAAAATAAATATAAAATGAGCACTGTACACTTTGTATTCTGTGTTCTAATTGAAATCAATATATTTGAAAATGTAGAAAACATCCAAAATATTTAAATATATGGTATTCTATTATTGTTTAACAGTGCGATTAATGGTGATTAATTTTTTTAATTGCTTGACAGCCCTCATTTATTTATGTAATCTGTGTAAGGTATGTCAGCTTTTCTGGGGTATGAAGATTAGTTTTGAGTGTGCAAATATGTATGTGTACTAAATAAACTACACTAATTCCTAGATGTGATTGAGCATTCCTTCACCTTCATCCCTTCAGAAATTATTGAAATTCAAAGGTAAAACTGTTCTTAGTTACACCAGTAACTATTGATTTCGAGAGAGTTATTCTGCATTTATATTTACGTAAATGAGAACAGAATCCAGCCGCTTTTCTTAGTATTATTGGTTTGTTATATATTTTGCTGGCAGCTTAATTAGTTGTTTTATGTTAACTGATTAGAAGAGTAAAATGGGATTTTCTTAAAACTAATCTTATGTTATATGAAATTGTTTTATTATATGTACTTTGAATATATGCATTAATTTTCTGTAATATAGGGAGAATAGAAGGGAAATTTAATAAAGGTCTTAATTTCCTGGGCACTTGTGTTTAAAATGTGATCAGCTTGTGTTTTTCAGTCTATCTTTGCTAAGGAGGATACAATGTGTAAGAACATTTATAAATATCTCTTTATAGTTGACGGAACTAAATTTGGGAAACAATATCTTTGAGGAAGTTCCAGAACAGCTGAAATATCTCAGTTCACTGGAAAAGCTTCACTTGTTTGGAAATAAAATTACTACAATATCACCCACAATATTTGGTAAGTCAATGTCAAATGAAAACAGACAATTAAGTAATTAGAGTGTTTTTAGACCTAAACTATAATAACACATTAGCTATTTCATATGTTTGGAGTGAACAGGATTGTTTGGTAAAGTGTGTGGTTTTTTCCATACCTGTTTTATAAACTTATTACTCTGTATGGAAAATTGTAATGTTTGGAAGAAAAAGTTACCTGTTAATGCAGTTTTCTTTATATGCCTGGTTAAATTAGTTCTGTGACCAGTGGCAAGAGTGTCGGAGCCTTCCCAAAAGTGTGTGTGTGGGGGGTCCTCACCCTCCAAGGCCCTGCCCCTAGCCAAGCTGGAAGTCGGAGCGGGGCTAGGAAGTCCCCCCGCCTCCCCCTGCTGCGGTGGGGGTGGGGCCGGGGCCAAAAGCAACCCCCTGCCTGTGTCCCGGGCCCTATGCCCAGGGCAGGTGGAGGGGCCCAGGCTCCCCACAGCTGCCCATGTGGCTCTCCCTGACCCGACTCTGGCTGGGGAGTGCCTTGGAGCTGCAGCTGGGCCATGATAAGAGCTGTGCAGGAAGCTGTGGGGAGTCACGACAGACTCTACCTGCCCGCGGTGCGGGTGGCCTGAGGAGATCAGGTGGAGGGCTACGGCTCTGAAGCACTCTCCTTCCCCCCCCCCCCGCCCGGCTGGAGCCGGTTTGGGGAGAGCCATGCAGGCAGCTGTGGGGAGCCGGTGGAGAGTCGTTGACCCTCCACCTCCATCTGCCCTGGGGGGGAGCCTGGCGAGTGGGGACATGGCCTGGGGGTTGCTTTCAGCCCCCTTGCACCGTGGGCAGGTGGAGAGTCTGCACGGCTCCCACAACTCGGCTGGGCTCCATGGGGCCTTGGGGGGAAGAGGAGGGAAAGGGGGCAGGGTTTGCCCCGTCTAGTGGGAGGGCTATGGCCCTCTGGACCCCCCTATTCCGGCGCCACTGAAGAGGTAACAGTAAGCATTAGCAACAATCTGACTAAATTCTCGTTAACAACATTCTCTGAATTAAAATACCTACACACCTAAACTTTGCCATCTCGGATAGAACTAGTGATGTTATGCCTTCAGTACTTGCCTATGGTAGATATTTCACAAGGAAGCAGAAATTTCCTAAAATGCATCGACCTGGTTGTACAGTATTGTACAAAAGGTGGGGGATTATTTCCTGCTGCTTCTTGAGATACTATTATTTTGGCATTTATAACTAAAAATATAAATGTGGTTACTAATAAATTTTTCCAGCTTCTTTTATTTTAAAAATCTAACTAGCATTTGACTCCTTCACCAGAGATCTGCCAAAAAAAATAGCATTTATTTATTTATTTATTAATTATCATGTTTATTTCAGTAATGCTCAGAGGCCCTTCTCGGGATTGCAACCTAATTGTGTTGGCTGATACAGAAACATTAACCAAAGGAACAATTTACCAAGGACTGTGATGGATTTCTCTATCACTGGAAATCATTAAATCAAGATTGGCTATCTTTCTAAAAGATATACTCTAGTTAAAATGAATTAATTTGGTGAAGTCCTCTGGTCTGTGTTATGCAGGAGGTTAGAGTAGATGATCACAGTGGTCCCTTCTTGGCTTATAACTTATGAAGGCAGAGCTGTACAACAAGTCAGAATGAAACCACCTATCATCATGGCAAGATTAAATTACCTCATGACTCAAAAGTAAAGAAAATGTTCTCAAAAATCTGTGCAAAGCCAAAGTTTTCACACAGGTCTACTTTATAGCTGAATGAATGAATGAATGACAGCTATTATTAACAACCATTTGCAAAAAAAGCAAGAAAGAAACTACTGTAAGTCATAAAAAGAGGTGCTTGCCATAAGTATGCTGTCTTTCTGTGATGGAATAATTACACCCCAAGGTCAGTATTCTACATCATTACCAGCATAAGTTATGAAAGAGCAATGATTCATTATCCTTACAGTGTCTTTCTTCAGCAGAATATATATAAAATTGTCAATATTTTTTTTTTATCCAGTATTGTTGTAGCCATGTTTGTCCCAGGATATGATAGAGACAAGGGAGGAAAGGTAGTATCTTTTATTGGACCAGTTTCTGTCGGTGAAAGAAACAAGTGTTCGTGCTACACAGAGCTCTTTTCCAGGTCTGGGAAAAGTATGCCGAGTATCACAGCTAACTACAAGATGGTACAAGTAGTTAGTACATATTCTAAGAGACCATTGAGGGTGAAGTGGCCCGTTAACAGCTCTGTAGTCATAAAAGGGGGATTGCTGAGTTACAAATTGTTGTAATAATCCATAAATCCAGTGTCTTTATTAAGATCATGTTTTTTATTGTCTAGCAAAGTTATAAATTTAAGCTCCCAGGCTTATTTTTTGAAAGCGTTGAGCAAGTTTCCTTTGAGGATGAGGACTGATAGGTCAAGGAAAGTTATCGCTTTGTAATAAGTGTTCACCCAGAGGTTATATGGTGTTTTTTTCTTTAATCATTTTCCTCCATGAGTTCATTTGAGAGCATACTGACTCTCCGGTTTCGCCCACATACTTGTTATTGGAGAATTTTGTGCACTGGATAAGGTACACCACATGTTGTGATATGTATGTGTAGGACGCAGGACCCGTGATAGGCGTATTATGGGGGGTGTTGATCATTATAGCAATGGAGATATGTTTGCAGGTTTTGCATCTGTTGTTCTGGCAGGGTCTGATGCCGCTTTGAGTTGATGTGTCCTGGTCTGTGGGGAGCTTGTTTCTGATGATGAGCTTGGAGAGATTGGGGGGTTGTTTGAAGGCCAGACGAGGGGGTTCAGAAAAGATTTCAGGATGGGGTCCCCATTGAGTATGGTTTGTAGATGTTTGATGATACTCAGGATGGCTTCCATTGTGGGGTGGTAGGTGACAGCTAGGGATGTGTGATCAGCGGGGGTTTCATTTCTGTATTGAAGGAAGTTCTCTTGGGGTATTTGGGTGACCTGTTCCATGATGTGATCTGCTTCTCTGGTGGAGTGTCCTTATTTGGTGAAGGTGGTTTTGTGTGTGTTAAGATGTATATTCTAGGCTTTCTTCTTAGAGCATATTCTGTGGTATCTGAGTGCCTGGCTGTAGGTAACGGATTTCTTGCGGGTGTTTGGGGTGGTTACTGGATCTATGTGTGAGCTGATCAGTGGCTTTCTTGCACATAGCTGTCTGCAGGGTTCTATTGTTGAAGCTGATTGTAGTGTCCAGGAAGATGATGGTAATGTGAAAGTGTTCCAGAGAGAGTTTAATGGACAGGTGGTGGTTGTTGAAGTTGTGGTGGAAATCTATGAGGGAGTTTAAATTTTTTGTCGAGAGGATGAAAATATTATCAGTGTTTCTCAGGTATATCATTGGTTTCATGGTGCATTTGTCCAGAAATTCTTCTTCAAGGTGGCCCATGATTGACCACCTTCAGTGTGACCTATAGATCCAACAGTTACCACAAACACATCAAGAAAACTATTATGTACAGCCAAGCACTCAGATATCACAGAATATGCTCAAAGGATCTTTAGCTGTGACACTGTGCATAGCTTTCCCAGGCAGACCTGAAGAAGAGCTGTGTGTAGCTTGTAAGTTTGTCTCTCTCACCAATGGAAGTTGGTCTAATAAAAGATATTACCTCACCCACCCTTGTCTTTGTAATATTTTTTTTCATTCACACACCTTAACAAAATCCTAATAATTTTACAGTCCTTCCACATGCAAAGCTTCCATTGACTTCAGTATAAATTGTGCATACTTAAAGTCTGCAGCATCTGTATGTTAATTTAGGGAATTTAAACTTTACCTGTCAGCTGATCTAGTAATTTGACAGGATATTCACCTGTTATAAATGCCTGCCTTTTAAACACTCTACAAGGCACAGAGGGGAAAGTAAAGAGAGTAGATTGTTAATCTGCCAGATGGAGGTCATTATGTGTGTGTCTAAGGAGAAGATCAAGAGAGAGTGAGTGTAAAGATGAATTAAAAATGTACTTTTTATATTCATTTGGATAAGAATGTATTTCTTACAGATGGATTAGAAAAATTGATATTTCTCAATCTGAACAACAACAAGCTTAAATATCTTCCTCCGGAAATACACAGGTAATTTTGGTTATTATGTAGCTTACCCTGTGTTGGCTATATACTGTACATGTTATACTCATGTACAGTCTTTGTGGACGTTAGATGCTAATTTCAACTGCTGGGAAAACTTCTGCTACATTTTCGTTTACAGTTGAGCGCCAAGAAATAAAATCTGTAGGTGTTTTTTGTTTTTAAAGTGCTCATTTCCCTTATATATACTCACTCTTACATAGTCAGGTTACCTTTTTGATACTTTTCTGGGAAGAGATGCAATATGAAGTCCTCCCCATTCTCAGGAATGGAATATAATTGTCTCAAAATACTTTTTTGTAAATCTTTTGAGAGTTAGGGTTCTGACTTGGTTCCCACACACAGGCCTTCCAGCTAGTAATTCTACTGAAGCCAATCTTTTTAATATTCTCTCTGAACAATTTGGCTTTTGTGTGTTATCTTTTAAAATATGCTGAACTACAAAATCGGAGCTGTGTACTGTTTCTTATTACCATATATATCTCATTTCTTGTGCTTTAGCGAATGAAACTAGGTACAACTATACTATTTCTTTCTAATTTTTATCCCAATCTTCTTTTATACCAAGAACTTTTCAAGAAAGCCTCAGCATGTAAAGTTGTGAACATTATAGCAAAAATTTAGCTTATGAGATTAAGAAGCATAACCTGGGTTATGCTATTGTTACGATTGTGCGACTTAGGCTAGGTACTGAGTAGGAGAATGTTATGGTTTCTTCCCTGGAGAGTTTTCAGTCTAACAGATAAAACAAAAACAAAAGTCCCAAAACCCAGACTAAGGGTGGGAGTTTGGGAGGGCTGAATTCCAGATGAAGAGTGGCCCCAGGAGAAGAGTTGTGCAGGGTCTTAGTGGTAAGGACTAGAAGCTTGAATCTGATGTGATGGGGAAGGACAAACCAGTGCTTTAGGAAGGCTAAGATATGCTTTAGGAATTATTTTGGGGAAGTTATGTGGCCTGTGGTATATAGGAGATCAAGACTAGACGAACACAGTGGTCCTGTCTGGCCTTAGAATCTACGAATCTTTGAAGTCGAGGGATTCAAGGACAGGGGATGACTTAGATGGGGCAAAGATGATATAACTACTGTATTTTTTTATGGGCTTGAAGGATATTATGGATGTCAGAGAAGCTGGAGAGGATGAAAGAGGTCTTTTGTAGACAAAAGCTTAATCTCGTAAATATTGTGGAGGATGATGCCCCCTCTGGCCTCTAGTTAGTCAAGTTTTTCTGACCAAGAAGTTCCTCCTGTCTATTCTGTATTTGGGTGAATATGTTGTGATTTTCCCAGTGTGATGGTGTATATTTTCTTCAGTGCATTTTGAACAGAAGTTATTTTACCAAATAAGCACATCAAAATTGTCTTAACTGTATAGAAGAAAATGTTCAGTATGTTCAAGAAGAATAACATTAAGTTGGAATGAAAAGTACAAAATCTTTACTAACATTTCTGTTACCCAAGTAATCTTATCCTGTAAAAATATACCCTGTTTCAGATGCACAGGTCCATATTCATCCCTGGTTGTAACGCCATTGATTTCAATGTGGTATTTGGCTTAAGATGTTTTCACATTGGAAAATGTTAAGAACCATTTTAGCAGAAAAGCAGCAAATGATTTTAAAACACACCTCTACCCGATATAACGCGACCCGATATAACATGAATTCGGATATAATGCGGTAAAGCAGCGCTCTGGGGGGACGGGGCTGCGCGCTCCGGCAGATCAAAGCAAGTTCGATATAACGCGGTTTCACCTATAATGCGGTAAGATTTTTTGGCTCCCGAGGATAGCGTTATATCGGGGTAGAGGTGTAACCATGATTACATTCTGACATTTTTGTCTGATTTTCCTGTCCCCAGTTTCTTGATTTGCTTTTTCTGACCCATACATGTAATTTGTAATTAATGATTTTTGTACCTTCAAATACAAAATGCTCCATGTTGTTGTGTACTCAAAATGGGAAGAATCTAGTGATAGAATCTTTTTTTTTTAAATAATTAGAAAGAGGAAGAAAATAAAAGTTCAGATTATATAAAGCTCTGTGCACCAATAAGAATGGCCATACTGGGTCAGACCAAAGGTCCATCTAGCCCAGTACCCTGTCTTCTGACAGTAGCCAATGCCAGGTGCCCCAGAGGGAATGAACAGAACAGGTAATCATCAAGTGATCCATCCCCTGTTGCCCATTCCCAGCCTCTGGCAAACAGAGGCTAGGGACACCATGCTGGCTAATAGCCATTGATGGACCTAACCTCCATGAATTTATCTAGTTCTTTTTTGAACCCTGTTAGTGTCTTGGCCTTCACAACATCCTCCAGCAAGGAGTTCCACATGTCGACTGTACATTGTGTGAAAAAATACTTCCTTTTGTTTGTTTTAAACCTGCTGCGTATTAATTTCAGTTGATGGCCCCTAGTTCTTGTGTTATGAGAAGGAGTAAATAACCTTTCCTTATTTACTTTCTCCACACCAGTCATGATTTTATAGGCCTCTATCATATCCCCCCTTAGTCATCTTTTTTCCAAGCTGAAAAGTCCCAGTCTTATTAATCTCTCCTCATATGGCAGCCGTTCCATACCCCCAATAATTTTTGTTGTCCTTTTCTGCACCTTTTCCAAGTCCAATATATCTTTTTTGAGATGGGATGACCACATCTGCACACAGTATTCAAGATGTGGGCGTAGCATGGATTTATATAGAGGCAATATGATATTTTTTGTCATATCCTTTTCTTAATGATTCCCAACATTCTGTTTGCTTTTTTGACTGCCGCTGCACATTGAGTGGATGTTTTCAAAGAACTATCCACAATGACTCCAAGATCTCTTTCTTGAGTGGTAACAGCTAATTTAGACCCTGTCATTTTATATATATAGTTGGGATTATGTTTTCCAATCTACATTACTTCGCATTTATCAACATTGAATTTCATCTGCCATTTTGTTGCCCAGTCACCCAGCATTGAGAGATCCTTCTGTAGCTCTTCGCAGTCTGCCTGGGACTTAATTATCTTGAGTAGTTGTGTATCATCTGCAAATTTTGCCACCTCACTGTTTACCTCTTTTTCCAGATAATTGATTAATATGTTGAATAGGACTGGGCCCAGTACAGACCCCTGGAGGACACCACTATTTACCGCTCTCCATTCTGAAAACTGACCATTTATTCCTGATATAACTAGATTAGGGATGTAAAATAGTAAACAGTTAAATGGTTAAACGGTAAGCATTAGTCTCACCGGTTAACCACCGTAACCGTTAACCTGGCCAGCCAGCCGGAGTGACCCCAGCCATGCTGGCAGGCCGGCTGGAGCAACCCCACCTGGCCAGTGGGAGCAGCTCCAGTCCCAGGTGCGCCGGCCAGCCGGAGCAGCCCCAGCCTCAGCTACGCCAGCTGGAGAGCATAGCCCCAGCTGTGCCGGCCCCTAGAGTGACCCCAGGTGGACGGGAGCAGCCTCAGTCCCAGCTGCTGGCAGGCCGGCAGGAGTAGCTCCAGCCCTAGCCACCGACCGGCCATAGCAACCCCAGCTCTAGCCGCCGCTGGCCAGCGGGAGTAGCCCCAGCAGTTAACCAGTTAAATAATATAATTTTAATTGTTTAAACAGTTAACTTTTTAAAACAATATTTACATCTCTAAACTAGATATATTACTCTGAGTACTTGTACATGAATAGGTCATTGATTACTCCTTAATATAATTTTCTTTTTTTAATTCTTTCATTGTTTGCAATTGCTTGTAAATGACATTTTCTGTAGCACTTATGTATTTTTCCATTGAGCATATGTGTTGTGCTACATTTACAAAAAGTGCTGAAGTCAACATGACAATTGACTTTGTGTTTCAGCATCCCATTTAACGTAGATCTGAGAAAATGTTTTTTCCTTTTAAAAAAAATGTTAATGTTGAGAATGATGCCAGATTGACAGTACCAGAAAACTGAAATCCTTTACTTATAGAATAGATACACACCACAAGCAGCAGCAGTACAAGCTTTCTGTTACTGATTCTGCTGCAAAAGTGTGTAAAAGCCTGTTTTAGAAGGATCAAAGTTGAGAAAGGTACTTGACCTTCCTGTTGTGGCTGCTGATAAAGGTGCCATTTCACGTGGTGCCCACCAAGACCATTAATTCATTTTTCATAGGTCACCAGTTGTTGTAAGGACAATTTCTTGTCAGTACCCCAGCACCCCTACCTCACTGCAGTCCCAGCTGCACTCCCACAACTTGTTCATTGACTGCTGCAGGGTGAGCATGTATGTCTCACGAACACACTAAACCCTTGTGTCATAACTATAAAGGGAAGGGTAACAGCTGTCCTGTGTACAGTACTATAAAATCCCTCCTGGCCAGAGACTCCAAAATCCTTTTCCCTGTAAAGGGTTAAGAAGCTCAGGTAACCTGGCTGGCATCTGACCAAAGGACCAATAAGGGGACAAGATACTTTCAAAGCTTGGTGGGGGGGAGGCTTTTGTTTGTGTTCTTTGTTTGGGAGTGCGTTCGCTCTCGGGACTGAGAGGGACCAGACATCAATCCAGGTTCTCCACATCTTTCTAAACAAGTCTCTCCTATTTCAAACTTGTAAGTAAATAGCCAGGCAAGGCGTGTTAGTTTTCCTTTGTTTTCTCAACTTGTAAATGTACCTTTTACTAGAGTGTTTATCTTTGTTTGCG